TGGAAAAAGGTAAAACTATATCAAAGCTTATAAAAATGGCGAAACTATATTAAACACTTAGTAAAAATTTAGCAAAATTAAAGGTTTTACCATTTTGCCAAATCCAAAATGAGTTTAGACAAGCAACCTTAGACATGATTGAAATATTAAATATAGTTAATTAATTTATTTTTATATGTAATATATTTCACATAAATAAGTAACTTTTAGATTATATAAAAAGCAGGATTTGAAAGTTAGTTTCTAATAGTTTTAAGAAGCAAATAGGCCTATTGTGTTACACTTTAATTTAATAATTACTTGGTAAACCTGTGAATTGTTATCTGTAAAATACTTGTATAAATATCTCTTTAAAAATTAGTCATTAAGTAAACTTATAAAATAATAAGATTACTGCATAATTAAAAAATCAACATTCAGATACTCATTTAACTGTTAAATTTCGTAAGAATTACACTGTTAAGCTTAATCTATACATCATTAAGTTAACAGTTCATATTTGCTTAGGAAGTATAATTATGTTAAAATTATAAAAGAAATATACACAAGTTTAATTAAAGCATCAGATCATCTTTATTAATATTTTTTATTTAAAGATAATTAGTTAACTTTTCTTTTATTAAAGCAAAGATATAAGATATTTATATAAAATAAACCAATAAAAATATAATATAATAAATATTTTTTATATAATAAATATAACTAATATAATAAATAAAATAAATATAATAAATCTATCAAATATGACAAATTTGACAAATTTGCTAAATATGATAAATATGATCAATCGGTTAAATATGACTAATTTGTCATAATTGTTAACTAATTCAACTATTAATTTGTAAATCAGTTTTTTGACAATTTTTATAATGTTAATCTTGCAGCTAACAATATATTAATAATACTTTAATTGTGATAAAATTATTCATTGCATTTTTAATAAGAAATGACATTTTGAATCTTTCTAAACATTAAATCCAAATACACTCGTAAAAAAATATGTTAAATTTGTTATTTTTAATATTAAAAATCAATTAAAATATATCTATCATCTATTATAAAATTTATTTTATAATTTTAATTGAACAATATTTATTACAACATACATTTTTGCAATCATTTTATTAAATAAACAAATTATTTTTAATTATATTTCTTATGAATAGAAAAGGTAATATACTTCCAATAATTAACTATTAAAAGAAATTAGTAGACTTCCTATTACATTATTATAGGTTAATTTATCAAGTGTTTTACATTTTTGAATCTATTTTTCAGAGTTTTATAATTTATGATATCTTTATAATCCTTTCAAGAGATTTAATATATCATCCTTATTAATTTTTATAGTATTATTATAAATATTTTCTTATATTTTAATATTTGATTCTAATTCTTTTATATTTGCTTGATCAGCCAAATAATGATTATTTAATACATAAATAATAGATAGAAAGAATTTATAAATTATTTAATATCTTTTAATAAAATTTATTTAAAATTAAAATGGATATTAACAAATATACTTATATACTTTGCAGAAACTCGTGATTTGTTACTATGTGGTTAAGTGATCGCCATTAAATCACGATAATTTAGTATTCAACATGTGACAACATGACTCCAAACGACTTTGTAACATGATTGAGAATTTATTGATGAAAAACCTTTTTGAAGTCGTAACATAATATTGGATAGGTAGTGAATATTATCGATACTTATTCAAAATAACTTATTCAAGATATTTTTTCGATGAATTAGATACTATTTGACAATAAATTTACCAACTTCTTAAGATTTCTTTTTATTGTATTTTTTTTAATTTTTTTTAAATTTATAGTAAAATTTTTCATTGTATAAAAAATGATTATTAATTAAATTTCATTGTTATTGTATATAAACGATTGTTATAGAAAAAGTATGACCTAATAAAAATTACGCCTATTATGGAATTTTTTTGTAATTTTTTTATAATCAACTATTGTAATAAAATAATGCTACTATATTTTGTAATAATTAATGTAATAAAATACCATAATCATGCAAAATGACACATCTTGAAAACTTGAAAACTTGAATCCTAACAAGCAGCTAAAAAATATAGACTTATAATCTGTCTTATTTTGGTTTCTGTTTGCCAATATTTGAAATCCTTTGTATAATTTTGTAAAATGATTTTTTCGCCTTCATTATTAAATTAAATTCATAAAGAACTATCGATATAGTAATAAATAAATACCTGTTTCACAACTATAAGTTGCTAGCGATATTTCTGCCGTTTTGGGATAGAACTGCTATGTTTCTCATCATATTATCCAGGGATTTGGTCCTTTCTGTATCTCTCTCTACATAATTAATAATTATTGCATCTACGTAAATGCAGCATCGTGTTTTGAGACTGTAATTCGAATATATTAGTTACATTTAGCCATCTATGCAAGGCACTTTTTGTTTTAGCTTCATTTACAAATGAGACAATTTCTCTTTGCAAAGGACAAATTGTATATGAAATTCCTTTTCTATAAACAAAATAAATTACATAAAAATGGCTAGAATAATAAAATTGATGGAATTAAAATGAAAGAATAGCTTAATCAGCCCTTTTTTCTTGAGTATATGAACCTTTTTCTCAATAATGTCAAGAAATTTATTGTGAAAATCTCCAAAGTTTCTATTAGCTGCTCGCAACCAGTCAACGCCTTCAGCTGAATTTAAATCACACCTGAAAATTTGCTGGACCAATTCTTCGAAAGTGTTCTTTTCAGGGTTTCAAGATCGGAGAAATAAATACTTCAGTTCTTCAAGAAAATCGTGACTAGCTTTAATCTGTATATAATTTATTTGGCAGTTAGTAATAAAAAAAATAACAAAAATAAAATTATCGTTAAATCATACCTTGTCATCTTGTACATGTGATGCAGAAGTTGCTGACATTGATGAATTACAATTTGGCAAAATAAAGTTAAATTCGTTCATAACTGATGCTTTCATCGACATATACATATTATAAGCTAGTAATAAGACATCAGGATTATTACATAGCCATGAGCAAATTTGGTGAACGTTATCCATTTCACGAAAGGTGTAAAATCTACATTATTTGATCGAAAAGATGTATTATTCGAACGAAACTTATCATCATTGAAAATGTCAAATGTTGGATGAATATCAGTATTATCATTTAAAGAAGTATTCGAATGAAACACATTTAGGGTTGGTAAAAGTCCTAATAGGTACTAATTGGTCTTAAAGAATTTAAAGATAATTTTAATTTATATACTATTAATTAAATATTTTAATAATAAATTAATCTTTTTAATAATTATTATATATCAATTATTTTATTAATTTAAAATAAAAAAATTCTTTAAAAATAATAAATATACTTAATTTAGGACCTGGTCCTAGGACTTAGGTCCTAGGTCTAAAATTTTAAAGATATTTTAAATTTTAAAAAGAAATTTGAACTTATTTTAATAAGTAACTTTAATTAAAAAATTGAATATAATAATAAAATTTAAAAAATTTAATCTTTAAAACTAATAATTTTTTTAAAATTAATCAGAACCAATTAGGACCAATTAGGACTTTTACCAACCCTAAACACATTAGATGTATTTGATCAAAAAACATTATCATTAAAATTTGTATTATTAGAGTGAGATGTAAATAAACGCGTATTAGTTGAATGCAGCGTACGTGGTGTAAATGGATGCACATTATACGTTATAGATAAATGTGTATCAGTCGAACATAATGAACATGGTATTGGGGTAGATAGACATGTATTAGTTGAACGTGCTGATGAATGTGGTGTAGTATAACAAGGTGTATTAATTAAATGTGAATTATAATTTAAAGTTCTATCAGTTGCTTCGTTTGAATTATTTAACGAGTTATTACAAAGCTTGTTAATATGCATGTTATTTGTAATCAGTGCAAGAGGTTTATGTTTGACACTTATAACATCTAAATAAATGAAAAGTGAATAAATTAATAAATGATAAACAATAATAAGCATAGTTTTAAGTTATTACACACTTTCTTTACCTTCTGAAAGATAGCTATCGTTTGTTTCTAAAAGTTCATTAACTGAAATGGTTGGTCTTTCAGCAGGTAATTTATCATCATTTTCATCATTACCTTCATTATCATCATCATCTTCAATATCATCATAATCTATAACACCGTCATCATCTTTGCTGTCATTGCCATCAATATATTCATCATCACTACGAACTTCGTTATTTTCCTTTTGATTAATAGGCGCTATTATTTCTTATATTTTTCCATTATCACTATCATTTAAAGCTTCGATAATAGGCTTCATTTTCTTTCGACCTCATTTAGCTGCAGAAGCTGGCTTTTATATTTTCCCATTATCACTATCATTTAAAGCTTCGATAATAGGCTCCTTCTTCTTTCGATCTCGTTTAACTACAGGAGCTGGCTTTTGTATTTTCCCATTATCACCATCATTTAAAGCTTCGATAACAGGCTCTTTTGTATTTTTCTTCAGACCTCGCTTAGCAGGAGTTTTTGTTTTTTTAACAGGCGTATCTGGTATGAGAATATCATCTTCCTGCTTTCTCTTTTGATTTCTGGTCTTTAGGAATGCTACTAATTCTTCATTTTACGTCTTCTTATTTTTTGGTGACATGATGAAAAAAAATAATTAATAGTTTTTTTTAAACACAAGAAATACAATTTATATAGTTAAACTTTTTTAATGTTTTTTATTAAAAGGTTATAATTTTATATACTTATTATATACCTTCATCATGAACATTTATTTAGACTTTTATGGTATCAATCAAAATCGATATTTATTAGAATTTTCCTATATAGCTAAACTTTTATAGTAATAAAAAACATATAATTCTTTTGGTTAAAATAAAAAAATTTGATTCGTGTTGATCTTTAGATTAGATGCTCTGATCTCTGAGCAATAGATAAGCATTACACATATAACAGTTTAAATTTAACAAATGTAACAGTTAATATTGTAATTTACCATAAATGACTTAGTCGATAAACTAACTGATACTTTTAATATTTAACAATAGAGTGTTAACTATGTAAAAAGAAATGTTAATATAGCAGAAGGATTTTAATTATGCTATGCAAAAGTTCTTTAATAAAAATTAATAAATTAGTACTGCCTCAAACGTCAGTGTTCTGTACTTTTACGAAGTTAAATTTATTAAATGCTGATCATACGAAATTATTACAACCATTAAAAATATCAGTATAAGGGAATATCGGAGAAATTATATTTTATTAAAGATATCATGAAAAAAAAGTGTTCTTTCTTCCAAATATCAATCTATCCCTTATATACAGTACATTATTTTTGAGGGAACAATTCACCCAGAAGACAAATTGATGAGACCATTTTGGCCAGTCATGGTCAACTTTCCAAGTGGTCAATTTGCCTATGCTGAACTTCAAATTTAATGCAAACTACTAACTCTATTAAGCAAACAATGCAAACAATACAATCAGTGTTACTAATGCTAATAGTTTAATTAATTTTTATTAAAAGTGTTTCATATTGCATGTGATATAATATAATTGTTATTGTAAACATTATTGTTACAAAAGCTGTATCAATTAAACTGATTTATTTATTTAAATATTGCTATAAATGTCTAAA